AAAAGGGGGGGGGGGGGATCTGGAGAAAGAGACCAATTTATGATAGGCCAAGCACTTGAATTTAAGCGCTGGTTTGGCGAACAATGCAGTTTTCTTTATACCAAATTCTAGCAAAGTTCCTTTAGCTGCACACTGAAGAGCCATTTCAGTTTAAGTCCATGTAGTAGTAGTAGTAGTAGTAGCCCTCCTAATTACATCTAGTTAGAGCCTCGTTGTCCGTTTTGGGAACAGGGTGAGGCGTTTGTTCAGTTTTAGACGAGCCATATGAAACAATAGAGAATAATGGAGGTTCTTTTCTTTCCTTCATGCTGGTGAGACTTTGAGTAGTAAACATTCTCAGCATACACACGTGTTGAAAATTAGTGGTGTGAAACTGTAGGTGAAGTAACAGCATAAACTGAGATAATGATGTAGCTGTTGTAATTTCGAATTCAACTGGAATGGTGAGAGAACTGTAATTTTTTTATAAAGAGCCACTCTTATACAGACATTTGTTGTGAGTAATTATACGTTTTGTTCCAGTTCAAATACTTTATCTATCTCTCTAAGGGCAGAGCATATTACAGCATAGCTTGATAATCAGACTGGGGTTTTATCTAGTTGTATAGTAAACCTGCCAGAGCAATATTATTAATAGTGTTATATTGCGTTGATTTACAAGCATAAATGGCTAAATATAAATGTGTATGCTATATAAGTATACACACACACACACAATGTGCGTACATATACACACACTGTGTAGTGGTCTAGGATTAAGAACCTGGAATGGGTCTTTTCTAAGGGAAATGTGTTTCGTGATGTTCCCTATTCCTTTGTCTGGTTTTAAATATGCTATGCAATAAATAATAATTCTGAGCAATTTAACTAAGCTGCTGCTTTTTTTTTTTTTTGTTAACTGGAAAAAGCCCTTTATATGAGGTTCAATAATAAAATTAGATATTAGAACTCAGTCGTATAAAAATTGAAAAACTGGTAACATGCTGTAAAGATGCAGTCATCTATTAATAAGTCAGATCTGCTAGTAAAATAAGAAATTGGTTGTCACAACTAAAATATACAGAAAACATTCTGAAAACTTGTATATACAAAACCACTTCAGCTGTACAGTCTTCGAAGAGAGGAATAGTAAACTTGTTTTTTTCTTTATAATATAGACTTCTATGAAGTCATTCCCCTTTATTTCATGATGGTGTCTTAGATGTGGTTTAAAAGAGAATTTCACACTATTCTCTTTGTTTAATGTGACAGTGTGAGAAAGTGATCTTTATTCGTTCAAAAAACTCTGCATGTAGTCTATGTTTAGGTTCTTTTAATGTGTTTGTCTGTGATTTTTAAATGCTAAACATGTAAACAGATAAATTGTCAATGTTAATTCTGTATCCTGTCACACAACTGATCTTTCTTTCCTGCCATTTCTTTCCTTTTTATCTTTTTTGTGCGTTCATGTTGCAGTTGATAAAATTACGTGAAGAGGTGAGTACTTTCTTGCTTTTTGTTGTCTAGCTTTCCCTTTAAAGCTGAGTTTCTAAATCTGAAGTAGATCTTTTTGTTCATTGTTGCAGGGAAATCTACACAAAGCAAAAATATTGATTACATTGCTTTAAAATATTCACTGTTGTGCCTCTTTTTCCCTAATAATTGTATACTTACATAGGAATCTCTAGATCAAACCTTAGAAATTAACATTCTTTGATAGTGGAAGTTTTTTTAAAGGCACTAGAAAAGGAAGGGGAAAAAAAACCCAAACTATTATTTGATCTCTGCTAGAATACCGTGATCAAATCAGGTACAGTAATAATCATGTTTGCATCACAAAATCTTTGATAGGGTAAATACATTTATACACTGGTATTGAAAGTGAAAGCATTGCTTTGGTAAAAACCTGTGCTGAAACACTGTAAAAATTACACAGTATTTCACAATGTTTTGAGTTTGGTGTGAGGTATTCAAGTAGCTTATGTATTATATTGGATATTGTATACCCACTGAAAATACAGTACAGGTAGACCTACACACACATATCAATATTTATTATTTATTTGTGTGTGCTGTAGATCTGTAGGTGTAACACTAGAGATCAGTATTCCAAAATACCTTTCTTCCAGTTATAAAATGACTCATAAATATTTAGAGAGAGAAGCCTGTTTTAATGGTCAGTTCCTCAAATGTTTCAGTATATTTTCTGAAATTAATATCCTCTGTTACTTACTGCTATAGCAAAGCAGGTATCTGAACTGGATTTTTTTTATTATTTCCCGATAGCTGCCAAAAAGAAGGTCTCAGTAAAGTCAAGATTACTTATAAGTCGGATTTCTGAAGCATTTTGTACGGAGAGTTTGAACCAGTGAAGTATTTCAATAAATATATTTAGAAGGACGAGTATTTTAACATCACATATTTGTCTGGTATCTTCTTTTTGAAACATGTGTGCCCAGACATATCAGTAATGAGTACTGAGCTCTGCAGGAAAGGATTTGTAAGTTTTAGAAATGGTGATGACAAAGAATTGTAAAGAAACCAGATTAAGGACAATTACAGAATTCTTAAAAACAGTAAGATATTTGTGATATAAAGATTATTTCACTAGTTCCCTGAATGCTTTATTTTTCCTTCTTCTAGTGGAGCTGATATTAATATGTTAAAGCTACAGAGTAAAACAGTTAACAAAAAAAAAATTAAACAAAATAAACATGTAACCACATGAAAGCCCTCCCACCACTGCTGAGCTCCCCTCCCCAATAGTCCCAGTATTTAAACAGATGACAATATTGTTGCAAGGGCTTGTATAGCCTGATTTCGGAGATTTTTTAGAAGAGCAGGGTTAATTTGCTCATCCCTTTAACACCACCTGCACGTCTGCTGCTGTGCTTTAGTGAAAGAATATAGTAGGATCATTTTTGCTTGCAAACATAGATTACAGTTTTATAAATATAAAGATTACTAACTTGTAAATTTACTCTGAAAATTTAACCAGATATAAAGAACAAATCTGCTACTTAGCTGTTCTTTTGAAATAGCTATGAAGGCAAATAAGAAAATTCAGAATATTATTGCAAAGAGCTGCAACTTGGGAGCTGTACTGAACTCAATCATACATTTTTGGAGCTTAGAAATCCTCTTTGTTAGCTACCTAAATATTTTTTAAAATTGCTTCTGGTAATTTTCTTTTTTGCTTTTCTTTGCTAGCCTCATAAGTTACTTTTTCCTTTCTCTGCATATTGTGAGAGCAGCAGCAAATAGAACTAAATAAAGGGATTTATCATTTCGTCTAGATCAAAATTGTACTGGTAGAGAGAGAAATAATTTAAAAAACAATTGTTAGCAGTCTGTTCTCTGCATTTAGGTACCCATGATGTGTTGGGTAGGTTGTAATTGCAATGGTGTTTTTATACCCAGTGCAAAATGCACATTAAAGTTTAAATGAAGGCTAGTACAGTGACTCAGGCATAATTCTTAACTTGTCACATAGTTAAACATCAAGGCATCCCCAATTACAGTTCTCCTAAGGAGGTATGAACTGATCTTAAAAGAAATTGTGGTTTGCCGTACTGTTTGTTAATAAAATCTGCGCTTCCTCTCATTACAGGGCTCTATTCTAGCACACTTGCCGTACACAGGCTTCCACGGAGGCTGTGTCGCTCTGTCTTTTGAGCTCCTGAGATCTCAGTTTGAATCCAACCCACATGGAATGACTAAATCTCTAGTGATAGCATGCCACTTTGCAAAACTTCCTTATGTAACTCCAGATAGAAGCTGTTTCTGAAGCTGCAAGATGCACTGAATCACCTCGTACCCACCCCACAGAGAGCAGGGGACACTGCGAGAGAAGGAGTTTGGGGAGGGGTGGGAAGCAGTTGAAAGCATCTGTAGGGCATTGATTTCACGACCGAAGCACGGAGTGCCTCCAAAACCAGACAATGTAAATAACACCACCCTTTATAATAAAAATTAGGTTTCATGATATAGTGGCTTGAGTGGAAAGGTTCTGAAGTCAGGTAAGAAACAGCTCTGAGTTAATGTTAGCTCCGGGTTCACAGGCTTTTAGTATTCTAATTCCTTGAAGTAAGACCGAACTGAACAGTGGGCTTACAGTTTACTTTTTACATCAAATGTGTCTTATAGTATATATAAAAATACACAGTTAAATGCTAATTCTTTCTGTTGGGTAGCTTTTCCATGTTGTAACGTGACATCTGATTACCTACCCCGTCTCCTTTGACATAACAGGACAGCCTTTTCATTTCCAGTATACTGTTGCAGTGCTATACATCCGTTCTGTAATTATAATGTTTTACTTGTGCTCACTCCCAGCCTATGTGTTGGGTTTTTTTTGAAGTATCTCCTCTCTAACTTTTAGGATTCTTACCTCCCAAACTCCTTCTTTATATCCCCCCCACCTCCCTTTTCTCTTCTACTTTCCTTTCTTGAGAGACATCTATGTAATAGTGTTAGGTTTCTGATGTTTTTTACAAAGTTTAAAATATATAATGCTAGTTGGTCTTTAATAACATTAGGGGTGGCAGTATTTGGAGAAAGGCACTGCAGGCTTACACTTTTTTTTTTTTTTTCTTCTAATGGGCAATGGAGAGGAACCAGCAGATGTTATGAAAAGGTGCTGTTTAAAAAAAATTAAGCAAAATTAACACTAATTATCTAGATTGACCATGAGTACTAAGAACATGCACCACTCTAGTTGCTCTCATGATTTCAATTACAGCATTGTAACTTATGGTTTTAAATTTTATTAAGTGCTTGTGCTGATTTTTTTTTTTTCTTGGTGGCCTGCCCCCCATGAATGCAAAAGGCTTTTTTGCAATTTACTCTTAACCTGTCCACTGTGTATTAGACAACTCTATTAATTATTATAGACTGTTATTGCAGCTTTCCTGACCTTCACATTGGGTCCTATCTGTGCTGATCTAAATGCATTGTTTTAATGATTTCCAAAAAAAAAAAAAGAGAGAGGAAAAAAAAAATTCAAGGCAAGCTTTGATGTGGCTTTAGCTGCCTCGATCGTCTGGCCGCATCTCAGAGATGTGTCACCTATGCCGGGAGGGAATAGGGAAATCACGTTTTGAATGGTAATGATAACATACTAATCACTTCCTTTCTTTGAAGATAGAAGCGAGATATTCTGTCAGCATCCCTGGCTGCTAGAGCTTGGAGGCACTGGTCTAGGTGTATTAGCTTAAGTGTGCATGTCAATACAGCTTGCATCTCCCAAGATCCATAGGGGCTCATTAGAGCAAGGTAGATCGTTTCGGTAGACAGCCACTCAGATAATATGTATGGCACCTCCTTTTTTTATTATTATTAGAAAGCATTTCTTCAATTTTTAAATGACATCTGTCAACAAGGCAAAGTTGTAGGAAATATTTTTTGACAAATATCCAAAATGTTGTTTTTGGGTAAAGGGGTGCTTCGGAGAGGTGTGTGTGATTACTTTAATGGGGGGTGAGGGGGGTGTTATATTTTTTGATGGCTTGATTAGAGGTGATCTAGGATCAATTTTCCAAAGGAAGTGAGCTTACGTGTTGAAATTTAGCATTTTGGATGGAGAATAAACTAATGAAAATAACAATTTCACTTTTTCACTATTGCAGACTCCCTAAGTGAAAATGTATTGGAAGACACATTTTTACTAGAGTTTATTGTTATCTCATAAGTGGGCATATGACTTCAGTGAAAAATATCTTATACCTGCATGTGTGTGTATTATTTATGTATTCATATATATATATATATTTAGGCATAAGAAATGTAAATCAAGGAACCAGTGTTTTGTTTCTACATCTTTTTACATCAAACAGTCTGAAGAATATTCATGCTGTTCAGTATTCTGTATGAAAAGCTCATTGTTTTTATCACCTCACTTGAGTAGTACACATAAAGGAAATATAGCCTCTGCTGAAAATTAAGTTCATGTTAAAAACTATCCCTTGCATTTAAAGTAATGGTTTCATCAAACTGTAGTTGAATAGAACTCATGGGTGCTAGCATACATGTGTCACTGGGAAATCTATTTTGGAAATACTCTTCAGACAGGTTTTCCGTTTAACAGTCGCATTCTGTTTTGTGAGTTCATGTAATAAGAGTGAAGCACGTATTCCATATTTCAAAACAAAAGTGATTGGTACACATAATTATGATTGATCATAGAACCTGCCCCTTCCAGTGGTCCTTGTAACAGGCTCTTCCATAAAATATATGTGGATATTTTTATGTTTTGGAATATGAAAGCACAATTAAAAATAGGGGGAGAACACTGTAGACTGCTGCCTGATATTTTTTTTTCTCTCTCTCCCCTTTTCTTTTTCAGAGGGCACATCTGCTCGATAACACAGAGAGGCTGGAAAGGTCATCTCGGAGACTAGAGGCTGGATACCAAATAGCAGTGGAAACCGGTAAGAATTCTGAGAGTGAGCAAATTGTCTTGCTTATGCACAGCAGTCTTCACAACACATGACATTTCAGGGAAACTTCAAAGGCGAAACAGAGACAGCAGCCCGAGATGTGGTTTACATATTGGGGAGACAATTGGGAGCTTATTTGCGCTTATCTTTTTTCAAGTTAAAAGGCATGACATCTACTGAAAACAGTTCCTGAGGTTTAAAAGTATACATCTGAAAAGAGATGGAATACTTTGTCTAAATTCTACATTTGTCTTAATATGCAGTTACATGTTGTCAGTTTACCCACCCGCAATGATTGCTAGCACACACTGCAGACTCCAGTTGTTTTCGTCTTTTACTTTTATTCATATGTGTAAAAAATATCATTTTAATAAATTTCTAAGATATTAACTACAGATGATATAGAACAATGTTATCAGCTCAATTTTGTTGCAATCAGTTCAGTGACTGATTATGCAGCTGATTCTGTGCAATGAAAGAAGTAAACAAACCATACCCCAAAATATACAGATGGAATAAAATTAAGGGAGAAGGTTGAATTGGGGCTCAATTATTGAATTAATGCTTTTTTTATTGACTACAGCTTTTCAGTTGGTGTTTTTAAAATGTTTTTTATTAAGTTTTAGCAATTTATAGTGGATTTTTTTTAAACCAGCAATAGTTAAGCCTCCAAAGTCTAATCCCCTAAATAAAGCTTGCACAAAGTTACAGAAAGTTTCAGAAAGTGTATGTTTGAGCAGTGAAGTAATTTTCTGGCAGAGAGTCCCAATTAATTGATATATTCCAGTATCTTTTTAGAATTCAAGCCTTATTTAAGAGGTAAATTAAGTTGAACCCTTGTAGAGTTAAATATGGCTGTGTTAAATGAATGGTATTACTAAAGTGCCTGCATTGTAATTATTCTGGGCTTAGTGCTGTGCACAATATTGAAATGGATGTATGGAACACACAGTGTAGATTTTGGAGGGCACAAGGAGAATTAATTCTCTTATTCCAGAGGATGACACGTTAGTAGAGATGGACATGTGATAGCAATTAAGTTTGCTTTCTTGCAGATTTTCAGGTCTGTTCTATCAATGATCTAAGGATTATTTTAAACTGGTCAAAAATGATTCCTGATCTGCTTTGGTTGAGGCTGGATCTTTCACAAAGAAACAGTATCTAAAAATTCAGACTGATCCTTTTGGGGAAGAGATATCTTATATCTTTTTTTACTCCATGTGGAATTTGTTAGATAGTGATCATTTTAACTTCCATTGCATATCTCCATGGTGATCTCTGAAAAATATGGTTGCAGTGCAAATGTATATTTGTATGGAAAGGGTGCCTTTCAGTATCAAAATCAGATGAAACTGCATTGGATTCCATAGAGTCACGCTAATTCACCCTGCTTTTGCATCTGTCTTGTCTTTTCATCATGAGCAGTGAGAGAGAGAGAGATAGATAGATAGAGTTCTCGTTCTCTGAACTCTGTGAAGACCAGTAGTGTAGCAATATTATAAGACATATTAATATTAAATTATTTGGAGATGATGACTTTGGAAAATTAACTTCATTGTAATGTAGATTTTTGCAGAAGATTTTTATGGAAACAGATTAATTATGTTTTGTTCCTGGTATGGATCATGACGATTCTAGGTGTGAAGGAGTTTAGATTAATTTTGTGCAATGAAAGAACTTACTTTTGGAGCTACTGTATGATTATTTTGTGTTGAGTTGTCGTAATAAAATAAAATACTTCATTTTGGAGTTTCAATTCATCGTTGAGTTGACTCCTCAGACCCTGTCTTCCTTGATTTGTTGCATAAAGAGCTTCTCTACATAACAGTGGTGAGGCCACATCTGGAGTGCTGTTTCCAAGTCTGGGCTCCACAGTACAAGAAAAACAATGGCTTACTGGAGTGAGTCCAGCAAAGGGCCATGAAGAGAATTAAGGGACTGGGGCATCTTTCACAAGAGGCTGAGAAAACTGAGACTGTTAAGCCTGAAGAAGAGAAGGCTCAGGAGGAGCTTATCAATGTGTATAAATAGCTGATGGGAGGGATTGAAGAAGAGGGAGCCAGACTCTTCTCAGTAATGCCCAGTGACAGGGCAAGAGGCAATGTACACAAATTAAAACCTCTGAAATTCCATCAGAACACAAGGAAAGAATTTTTTACTGTGAGAGTGGTCAAATACTAAAACATGTAGCCTAGAGCGCTTGTGGAGTCTCCATCTGTGAAAATATTCAAAATCTAGCTGGTCACAGTCCTTGGCTCTAGGGTACTCTGCTTGAGCAGGGCATTGGGCTGGATTATCTCAAGAGGTTCCTTCCCACCTCAGCCATTCTGTGATTCTGTGAAGATGAGGAGGTGGAGGTGACAACCCTTAAGTATCTATTCTACTTTCTTTATGTGGTGTCTTTTCATAATTATGGATATGTATGTTGCTTATTGTAATGAAGCTGGATGATTTTCACCTCTGGAATAAGTCACATTTGAGTCTTTCTTATTACCTTAATCAGCAAAAATACATATACTATTTTAACCTGCCCCTGTGATCATCTAAGGATTAATCTGACATCACATAACTAATTTAATGCAATTTCACATTACCATTCCTGAAACTTACCATGATAAATTGGAAGCTTTTTTCCTGTTTGCATCTCTAAATTGATAAGCCCTTTCATCTTATGTACAGTTGTTCATACAAGCTGAGATCTGTTGGAAGGTCTGACTTCCTTCTTTGAGTGGTGCCATTGATTCATGGGCTTCAGTGGTGTCTGAACAGGATGCCACTTATGTCACCATCTCTAAGACACAATCCAACACCGACTGTTAGGCTTTCATAGTTTGTTGGCTAGCATTTGTTGATACTGAGGATGCTTAAATCTATGCAGAAACCTCCTGACAGACTAAGCAAAGCCTTTAGTATCTGGTAACCAGTTCCATAGCACTCAAGGCCTACTGTAAGGAGAAGAACATTATTCTAAATATTCATAGGGGTATGTTGCAAATTTAGCAGGCATTTGAGTAGCTGATTTAGTAGACCGGTAAGTTCATCAAAGCATTTGTGTTTTAATTGCCTGAGTTGTATGGCACAAACACGCATAAGGGAAAGCTCTCAGGACATACAGGGAAACCAGGAAAGCCAGGACTTAGTCCTTTGTACCAAGGAGGGCAAGTTTTAATAATGACTGATAGCACTGCAAAGTGCACTCATCTGGATTTTTTTAAATCAAAATATTGTTTTTAAATATATTTATTGTTGTTATTTTTCTGGTTTTATATTATCATCTGCTTTGCTGGTAAGGAACAGACAAGCAACTGTACAGCCTGATTAGCAGGCATTTCCAACACCACTCATTACTTATGACACTAGAGCTCAGTATTCTTAATTTCGGATATAGTCTGGCCATATACCCTGAGAATATGAGAAGGATTTTCAAAATGCATGAAAATTGCTGATTTCAGTCGAAAGGAGAGTCTGCTGAGTTAATCCTGATTAATCACAAAATTCTTCCCATTTTGAAGAGGGAGATTTCCTAATTCCATTCCCCATGCTCAGATTTCCACAGTATCAAATTGAATTCTAGAACTTCCTTATTTTGCATGCAGGATGTAGCATGGTAAGGTATCCCCTTCTTTGTCAAGTCTTAGATATGTTTGCTCAGACAGGAGCATTCTGAATGAGGAACAGTTCAAAATGCTTCATTCATCTTCAGAGATAAAATTGGCATGCAAATATAAAACACTGTCGAGGAGAAGAAGAGCAAAGCTTGTTGTAGGGGACCATTGTAATCTGCAGTTGAATTGCTTTCATTAAGTTCTTCTCAACTGCCAGATACTTTCTAGGGAAAAAAATAAAATCCTGGTGTTTATATAATACAGACTTTACCTTGTTTCATGACAATAAGAGAGATCCAGCCATTGAATGCTATCCAGGCTTTCATGGCAAAACTACATTGCAGGTATTTATTTTATTTTTTTTTAGTTCATGAACTTTAGATATTCCTATAGCTTTCAGAACGTGTAATTTGAGAACAAATGTGGAGCTTGCCTCTATGAGTAATGATTATTAGATATAGTACTGTGGCTCTGAATGTCTCTGAAATATCTGTGCTACTAGAAGAGTTTGTAGTTTGTGGGTAATAGATCTATTCTTTGCACCAAATGTTAAGATATTGTCTTGCTTCTGGTTTTGTATCCCTTTTGTAATATGTAAACATGGTGTTTTAAAGAAAAGAAATCAAGAGAAGAGAAACTCTTTTGTTCCATTTACAGAAAATCCTTCTGAATCTCTAAGTTGCTTAATATGGGTTTTTTTTCAATCCTCCTTACTCTTTGGGAATTCCAGGAATATGTAGTTCTGAAACAGTTAAAGGAGAAATATTGCTGAGCAAGAGACACAACAGCTTATTTCCCACCCTTGTGTGACATGAATACTTCTCAGTACTAAGGGATCCAAGCAAATTTCAGTGGCTCTCACCAGTTGTAATGAACTACAGTCAAACCTGTTCTGGACTGACCCATAAACACTGTCAGCACTGGTAGCCTAGCTGACAGGCAGATGGTCAGACCTGCCTCAAGGTATTGGTATTGGGGTTGTTGTGCTGTTCAGGTGTCATGAATGAGATGTGCACCAGCGCTGACATAAAATATGTGAAACAATAAAAATTAAAATAAGTATATCCACTAAACTGATTCCATTCCATCGTGATTGCAAGAGGTTGGCTTTTCAGGTAGAAAATACAGTAAACATTGCTATGATCAAGATAAAAAGTGTGCATAGCTTAGAAAAAATTTAAATGGCTCAAACATCCAATGTTAATTGAACAAAAACCAGACTCTAATGATCATACACATAGGGCTACTTTAGACTAGTGGAAAGGTTGTTGCTTCTTTTGTGTTGTAATTTTGTATACTTAGTAATTTGCTTGCATTAGTTGATCTCACTTGGACCTTCACACCGCTGTTCCATCCTCAGGTGCATGTATATTCCAATTGCATTTG